TGTAATGTAATCTCGTCTTTTGGATAAGCTGATTTTCTTCCAGATAGTTTGCAAAATAACTTAGATATAGAATTTGATAATTAGGAGCATATAGATAAATAAAATAATAAATATATCACAAAATGAGATTTTGGATTTGTGGCAGAATTAGATGAGCATTTCTTCTTTGTGGGAATTTTTGTCTCGCCTGCCTCCCATCCCTTGAATCTATATCTAGTGAATTTTACAGGCAACTTAATATACACACCCAATCCTAATCATTCTAATCGGTTTTAGTGAGTTTTACAACTCTCGTAGAAAGACTTCCTATCTTGATTTTCCGTTCTGATTTAATCAAAGTGCACTGAACTGTTATCTCTATCTCCGTGTGTCTGGTCTCAAGTGAACCATTACGTTCTCTCACCCATGCACGTACATGTGCGTGTGCACGCAGGTTTACACGATAGCTTACAACCAAGATTGTATCTGTTGGGAAAACAGTAAGGCTGCAAAACAATGTTGTTTGCACCATACCTTACAATAATTATTAGCGTGCAGGAAGAATGGTGGAATCCTAGATTCTTAAGGGGCCTTTTTTGCTATCGAGGTCAATCTATTGCTAAGTGAAAGAATCCAAATTAAATAATCCCTGACAAATGGCTGCCTAGTCTTCACTAGAATGGAATGGGACAACTCACAATGGGACAATTCAATGTGGTATAACTCAAGAGAGGGACAAATGGCAGCTCAACCCAAACTCGAGAACATCTACCTTTACATTTACTCAAATATAAAGCAAAACAAAGCCTTCTGCAATTCAGTTGTCCCTCTCTTGAGTTATCCCACATTGAATTGTCCCATTGCAAGTTGTCCCATGGCAAATTGGCTGTGGTGAGTTGGCCTAGACCTTCACTAGAAAACAGCCAGTGAAAGAGAATCCACCATCCTTTTGCTTGATCTCACTCACACATGCACACATCACTGCTGGGGTAAAGGTTTTATCTCCATGCCAACAACCACACAACCTCCGGGAGTTCACAGCTCAGTCCAGGAACAAACCAAACATGAATCCATGGAACAAGACAAGTCCACAAGGCAGAGGCAAGGCTAGGGCATTTTGTAAGGGAAAAACAAGTCCATGAGGCACAGGCAAAATCTGTGAAATCCAGAGGCCAAGGCATAAGCCATGTTCCAAAGTATATAGTCAGGAAAGAAGATTCATGGGAAGAGGCAGTGAGGTTGATGAATGCAAATCAAGGAAACAGATGCCTTTCCCCCAGCGTTTTTTCACTCCATTTGCTGAGGTAAATAACCGCTGCCCGGTGAAGTCCATCAAGAAGAGTGACGCTGCCACCTCACCAGTACTTGTCATGGTCCTGTCAGATCCCAATTTGGACGAGGAATTGGAACCAGGATAATCTGACAGATATAGCACCCCTGGAACTTTTGGAGACGCCAGGGGCTGAGCTTGATGCTGTCCCAGGCCCCCCCCATCATTGGGGAAAGTGGTCAACCAGATAGGGATCTGCCTGCCTTCATGAAGGCAGAGGATGATCCTACAGACAGGCAGTGGTGGTGAGAAACAACAGATCTCCTGTGTCAAGGAACAGCTGCTCTTGTGTTTTTTTTTTGTAACATTCAAATTGGAATCTGCTCCTCTTTAACTTAAATGTTATTAATCAACATCCTTTACCCTGAAATGATGGAAAACAGACCCTGACCTTGTTCTGTGTGATATTCTTTCAAATATTTGAACAGTACTGTCATGGCCACCCAAATCTCCTCAAGGCCAAACATTTCTAGGTCCTTTGATCTTTTTGGTTGTTGAATTGTCAGTCTCTGCAACAACTACTCAGACATGTTAAATAAGAATCATTATTACTGACTAGAATGAGGTTGCTTAGATAGCTTCAAAATGAGAGCATGATCCATTTTTTTTAACTCCCCATCTTCCTGTGCACTCAAGTGCAGAATGTCCAGATAACATCTGGAGGCACTCAGTCACCTCCCTAATTCACAGAATTACAAGAAGGAGGAGAAGGCACTGCACAGAAAAATCAGGCTTGAAATATTCCATTATCGTAATCAGTACCAATAAAAATATTGTAGGCATCCTGCGGAGTTGATTTCTTGGTCTGGTCTACTTAATAGGGCTCACAAAGCTAAACTAGGGTATCAACACAGTAGTTATAAGCAAACTCTGCACAGATATAGAGTCAGCCTTGAGGTTTAACACAGAAATGAAAAACAATTCTCATGATGGAATTTTTCTTTCTTTCAATCAACTGTCAATGATGGGTTGAGGAAAGGTGCAGCCTTACATCTAGCAATTAAAATAGGGCATCAGAAAGCTTACACTGGCCCACTCCTTTGTTGAGGGATACTTATCACTTTAAATCACTTTAAAAGGTCTCATTTGGGTTCCCTGAATATGTAACTTGAATATTGAATGTAATCAATACCTGGGGAATATAATTATAGTTCCTTTACATTTAATGATCCCTGATTAGTTTTGTATTATTGATAGCCTTTTCACCAGATACACCAGTCTGAATTCACCAGCAGTTGAAGCAGACTGAGTCTTGCAGGAAGGTATAGCATATATGGTAGGAGGTCCAGGAAGTTGGCTGCTAGGATTAAGCCTTGTTTCAGTTTGGATTTGATTCGTTCCTGTCTGACATTGTTAGGGGAAATTTTTGTTCTGACTGCTGTTTTACAGCAAATGTAGAGGAACCTGTTATCCGGTTCCTAGACTGTGACTTGGGACAATGTGACCATTAGAATATAACTGCACTGATTTCCTGAGAGAAGCTCTCCACCCCCATTCCCACACCAGAATCTGAAGGTGTCACCAAGTTGGGAAGGGAGGGGAGCATGAATTATTAACCTAGGTGGGAGCCAGGTTTAGACTTTTGTGTCTCCTGTGTTTTGGGTGAAACTGGGTTGGGAAAGGCACGGATAATTGTGATAGAGGGTTAGCTGTGTATGGTATGCAGCATGGAAGATGACTTTGTTTTGTTGGAGTAATTAAATCTTGTCTGAAGTTACCTACTTAATGATTTCCTGTGCTGGATGGTTAAGGAGTTTCCTGGATGGGAAGGAGGTGCAGGCCGGGAGGGACAAGGGAACTTCAAGAAAAGAGGTTGTGACTGTAGGAAATTAGGAGGTTGACCACTTCAGCATTCCTGATCTTGAAAACCAAATATTGAGATACTCATGCAAACCTATAGAGAAGTAAGAAAGTTCTTCATCAAAGGAACTGTAAGACAACATTCTGTTGGATGAACAGTCTGTCTTTTATTTACTATTGTCTTTGGCAAGCTGAACTATGCATTAATATTGAACCATTCAGCTCTCTAGGGTGCCACTTGGGTCTGATATATTTATCTTATGAAATGGCTTATAGTTGTTTTCATGCATACCTTTTACACCAATCAGCAAAAGAACACTAAATATTTAATAATAAAAACATTAATGTACTGTATAAAGAACAGTATAAAATATCAGTAGCTCAAAACAACAAATTAAGTCAACCTGTTGAAAGCCAGTAAAATTAAAAGGACTTTTGAGATTCTTGGTGCTCTCTGAGCTTGGCTGTTTGCTTGCAGATATTTTATTATTCCACTACGTAGCATCATTGGTGCTAGTGGGTGTGGGGTTTGTTCCCTGTTTATATAGAATATCTTGGCTTGACAATGTTGGTGCGTATATGATTTTCTCCTTGGTTTTTCCTTGATTAGAGGTTTTCTGTTTGATTGTTAATCCCTTTTTATCTGGGTGTTGGCTGCTGGAGAGGATATGTTCTCCTCTTTTGATTTCTCCCTTAGCTTGTGTATCCTTAGCTCTTTAGACTAGTGTGTAAATATGGTGGATCTCTATGTGTCTTTGCCTAGCCCTCCATAGACGACAACAGTGTCAGCTGTTACACACTGGTAGAACATCCCGTAAGGCTCTCTTTCTATACATGAAAGTATTTTTTTCTATGTGGCTATTCTCAGAACAGAAGCAGGATTCTCAAAATGCTGTGCATATATAGAGACTTCTGTTGGGGATTTAGTTCCAAAGCAGTGTAACACATTTTGAAATATGTTACTAAATAGATAGCCAATATAGCCAGGTTTAATCATGGGCCACCTTTCTGGCTAATACTGAAGATTTAGCTCAGTGTGGGTAAACATAAGCATATATATTGAATAAGGACTGCAGTGGCTGAAACGGCATTTTTTCCATTTGGAGGTAGGAGGTGTGTCATTTCTCAAAGAAGGCTGATGCACTGTTTTCTTCTTTGTTCTTCCCGCCCCCACAAATCAATAGGAAATTGATCCACTGTTTCTTGAAGTTTGCCCTCAAGATTGGGCCTTGGTTCCTAGGGATTATAAAGAAGTCTGCATTGGGGCTATGATCTGTAAATAACCAAGCCCTCCATTAGCATAGGCTGCATGCTGTTAAAGCTATTTAAACTTCCAGAAACAAAGGTATTCCTAGGAACATTTGAAACTATGAATTTATTATTTTCAATGAGTGGGCAGCATAGTCTATAGCAGGGGTGTCAAACTGGCTGCCCCCGGGCTGGATGCGTCACACACAGGCCACACATACCCCAGCTCTGCAAAGCGAAAAAACATCGCGAAACGTCACGTGACAGCAGCATGACATTGCGAGTTTGAAACCTGTGGTCCATAGATTTCATATAACCCTGGTTTCTCTTTTATGTCATTAGAGCACCTAGAAAATGGCAAACCACTAAGTGACTAAACGAGATTTGTTGTTGAGATTTTTCAGTAGGGAACATTGTGAAATTGATGTTTAGGGCTTAAGAAACCATAACAACAAGATATTTTCATCCTTGGAAGAAGAAAAAACTCACCTTCCTGAATCTTTGTCCCTATCAGAAATGGGACAAACCTTCTTTCACTGGACACTACAGCCCAGCACTCCCAAATAGGAATAAAGTTTTGAACAGCTATGTTTGTGGGGATATAGGATGATCGTAATTATATTCCTTTCTTTTTCCTTTACAGGTGACTAAAGCACAACAAATATCTTGGTTTCAGTAAAGGCTTTTTTTCAGGCCGAAGTGAAATTCACCATCCATAAAAAAATTCAGTTCTCCAGAACAAGTGGTCAAAAGAATAAAATAGGTTTGCAATGTTTTATTTTTAAGTTCTCGCAGGACTATATTATTTGATTGTGTTTTAAATGGTTCTTGTTGAGAGAAGAAGTGCTGAAAATGGGGGATCAGCAGACGTATAAGACAAACCACATAGTTAACAATAGCGAAAATGTATATTACCAGCAGCAGCACTTGAGTCCTCTGGCATCTGCAAACCACAACTATGGAACTTCAGCCATGCATACATCTCCAGAGTCTCCCCTCTCTCCCTCATTCCCTCATGATACCAGGGAAAACATGTCTTTGAATGTTGGGCCCAAAGGTCTTGGGCTAATGGATTCTCCCAGGCAAACAGACTGGGCCCATTTGGTGTCCGGAAACCACCTCCCAGTAAGAAACAGTCAGCATGTCATGTGGAATCCAATGGCTCAAAGTGAACCGGTTGATGGCTTTGACCATCTCTGTTCCCAAAGCAATGACCTCAGGTCACAAAAAATTACCAGTGGGGTTTTGCATAAATTAGACTCTTTTGCCCAGGTGTTTGCTAGCCAAAACTTAAGAATCCAAGTGAACAATGTGTCTCAGAACATTCAGTCGCAGCCTCCAGTGATGGAGAATGCTGGCGATAGCGCGCTTCGACAATTGCTGTCTCAGAAACCTGCTGTGGAACAACAACTTGTGCCGAGATACCAGCAGATGCCACAGCAAGTCCATCCCGGATTTGGAAGTGCACAGCAAAAGCAGCAGATGCAGCTAATGCAACACCAGTCCCCACTTTATTATGATAACCAGCAACATGTTGCCCACATCCCAATGCACTCTGCCATGCACCAGGGACAGACCCACTTGCAGCAAATGCATTCTCAACATTTGCTGCCACCACAGCTACAGCAAGATCAATACTATCTGCAGCAACAGCAACCCCATCAAGGACAGCACAGGCTCTTGGTACACGAGATGCAGCCTCAGCAGCAGCAACAAAGGCAGTGCCCCATGCAAACAGCTCAGTATTATCCAATACAGCCTATGATGCAACAGTTACAACAGCAACAGCAGCAGCAGCAGATACAAACACAACTTCCTCCCTACCACCGGGATACTAACCAGAAGCCTCTGCACGAACCTCAGCAATACTCCCAAGATCGAGGTAATTCCATGCATCTTATACAGCTAGGAGCAGTCCCTCCGTATTTCTATCAAGATCAGCAGCAGTCCTTCAAACATTTGTATCCACAAAGTGTTCTGCATCAGCAACAGCCATCCGGTGATGCCAGTCAGCCTGATCATTACCAGAGTGATGGTAACACTCAGACATTGATGGATGAGCACCTGGGACTCCCTATAGCAGAGGGGACTGAAGATCCAGCAGCACAGGGCCTGAATTCTGTGGACAGCACAATCTCCCAACCATCTCTTAGACCTTCAACAAGTGTTCTGATGAATAACAAAAGACCTCAGCAGTTGTCTCCCAGTGCAATATGGCCACAGGTATGTAAAACTTTGTATCTTACTAGTACTTTCTGATAACTAAGTTTAGAAAAAAATCTGTATTGTCTTATAACATACAGCAGGCATGCACAATTGTTTGTGAAATGTATACTTGGATTTCAATAATATGCTGGGACAACACCCTAGAAAAGTAAGTGGAGCCAGAACAAAAGCTTCATTCAGTATCGCTCCCATTGACATTAAATGTAAAACTATATTGGAAAAAATTAACACTTTCCCTTTTGTTGCATTAAAACTGATAATTCAAGTAGCAGATTTTGGAAGGCTTTTGGGATAGGTGCCTTCAGACCTTGGGTTTCATTCTTTGCATTTTATCAACAATAGTTGTCCAGTGAAATAGAAGAAGCCTTTTATGGCATTGAAATTTATGTTCTCTGAAACCATGGAGACAAACAGATGCTTCCATTGGCAGAGCCATTTTGTGAATCAGTAATATTTAACAATTTATTCCAACTGTCCATCTACGATGAACCAGTGAAACTGGGTTAGATGCTTCTAAATGTGATTAAAGAGTGTTTGTGGGTGGAAATCTGTATAAATGTAGAGATTCCACTGGAAATTTTAAAATGACTCTGTGCATTGGGCATTCTTAGAGGCCTACTTCCTGTGGAGTCTGTTTGATAAGGCACCACCATCCATTTGGCTCAGAAACACAATATCTGGAACAGGAGGCCTTTTTGTTTCTTCTCCAAGAGTTCAAATATTGCTTCCTGTTCAGATCTGAACTATGCAGGGTAGCAAGGTGATACTTTTAATGTCCTTCACAATCTTCCCAATATTTTAGACCAGGTTTTTTTCAAAATGTGTTTTGATGGGGTCCCATGAGAAACAACTAAGGACATTAAAAAAAGAACTCATTCACTTGACTGTAACCAATTTCCTATCACTAGAGCTTTGCCTCTTGATCAAGGTATGCATATGTACATTTGAAGGGTGCCTAGAGTAGGAAAAGTGGTACAGGCTATAATTAAACAACTTACTGGTTTACTTAAATTTCTCCTATCTTTTTAAATAGCAGATCCAGTTACTTGATGGCAGACTTCCATCAGTTTCTCCTGAACAAAGGTATAGTTGTGATTAATTACTGATGTCTTCTAAAAATCCAAAATAGTGGCCTAAAAATCCAAAATAGTGCAAATAATCAACTATCTTGTAAGCAATCTTTGAGAGTGCTATATTGAAATATGGCAAAACTTTTGGTGGCCGTTATATCAATCTGTAGTAGAAGACCATATGACAATGATGTAGCCTTAGTTGTTAAGAATATAAAACTTAACCCTTAGCATGTGAATTAGATTTGTTCTATATCTAACTATTCTAGGTCAAAGCCTATTTAGATTCAGAAGGGAAATTCCATTTATCTCCAGTCATCTTAGTTGTGATCTTAGTTGTGATTGTTCTTCCTCCCCTTTCTCTTCTGAAGCTATGCCTCCAGCCTTTGCCTTCAACTGTAGGAACTGTATCATGGATAAATGTGACAAACTTTGAGGAGCCTCAAGTATGACCATCTGTGGAATTACAAGAGATCTTCTGATGATGCAGTGGCACCACTGGAAATGGGAATCCAATTTAAGACACGCTATAGTTTCATTTTCGCTCAATGTTTTTTGAAAGTAGAACTGAAGGCATCCTGTTCATATCTCAAAATTAAAAAACCCTCCCATTATATTAAAATTGAACCAAATTGTATAGAAAAGTTCAGTATTTGAGAGGAGTGGTTTGTTTTTAAGAAGCCTCTTTTTTCATAATTATTTGTGGGGGGGGGACCACATCATCCTGAAATTCCGCAGCAATATGCCCAGTACCAAGATGATATAAGTAGAATTTGTATTTGGGCCACAGGAACTCTTGTGTTTAGTTTATTACTGTACATTTTTCAGATCTTACATAATTTTTCTTTAAGAATTGCTAACACAAGGGTTTGGTGCATACAGTGTTTCTACAGAAGGCTGTTTTGTCTTTCCTCCCAAATGAACTAAGCAGTTTTTCACAAAGTGATGTCTCAACTTTCCCAAATTCAATGGTGTATGAGGTGGAAGTTCGTTCTCCAAGCTTGTGGATTGGTTTCTATTTCATTACCAGGCTAGGTAATATCTTCAGTGGAGTTTAGGGGATGTCAGTGTCAGTGTTCTTCTGCTTATAAGGGCTTTGTATGGTCAGTGTGATGAGAGGTCACGTCGGGTGAGGATCATGTCAGGAATTACCCTTCTGATGTGACCTCCGCATCACAAGACCCACTGACCACACATAGCCCTTACAAGCAGAAGAACACTGCCACTGGCATCTCCTAAACTCCGCTGAAGATGTTACCTAGCGTGGTAATGAAATTTTTGGAAACAAAGCTACAATCTTGGAGAACAAACCTCCACCCTCATTCTATACCTCAGTTACAGATATTTACCACTATCAATGGTGCATTCCTTAGGGTGGTCCCTTGTTGAGGGGTGCTTTCTCTTAAAAAAGTATTTAAACATTTTTTTGATACCTAGCCAGGTATTTGTCTCTTAGATGGCAGTGTCCTTTTTATATTAATCAAATTATAGTTTCACTTATGGATGGTTTTTCCCTGTTTCTTTTTAAAATATGCCTACCTGAAATAAAGGATACTTGTTAGAAGTGGCATGGCCATTGTCATTTCTGTAGCTGGCAAGAACACATGCCCTCTGTCTCTTCATAACTCATGGCTAGAACACCATGACCCAAAACATCTTCTATTGATGTATGTTTATTCTACTAAAGAACAACAACTTTAGCACCTTTGCTCAAAATAAACTGGTTTCAGATATTTACCCTATGCTATAGATGTTGAATGAAACTTTTGTGGACAAACTAGTTCAATGGATTGTGTTTTGTGAGGCACTTCTGTCTGTCATATTCAGGAAAGATAATTAATGAGAAAACGCCAAATTGTACCTATGCAGATGCACAACCTATTTGTGTTGCTCATGTATTAAAAATCATCTAGAAAAAATCTTTCTTTAAAACATTATGCACCATCAGTTAGTGTAGAATTTAATTGAGTCATTGCATAGAGCAAAGAATTACGGAAAAAGTTTGTCGCTAATTTAATGTTTCAGATTTGGTGAACTGATGAAGCCCTTTATAAATAAAATATATTTATCTGCACTCTTTTGCATTTAAAACTTAGATTTTTATCATTCCTTTTTTGTTAAATAGGACTTGCCAGTTGCTTCAAAGATCTGATTTAACAAACTTCCTTTTCTTTGTTATGATCATGACTTTCAAGTTACTTATCAGTTCTTATTTTCTCATACACAATCAGTGTAATCAGTAAAATTGCTTCATTCTTGACATTGAGTAATTAACATCAATATCAATGTTACCAATTTTAACAAATCAAAAGAAAAGTAAAGGTAGGGAACAGCAAGTAATTTAAAACAGTCCTCAAACCATTACAAATTAATTTAAATATTTTGTTTATATAAACAAGTAATTAAAATGATGCTTTTCATCCATTTTCTTTTATATACACAGAACTGAGATTGCTACATTATTGCAATTAATACAACACTATTTTCTGTTTCCTTTTTAAATATTCATATTTACAACATTCAAACTCCACTATATTGTTGCCATGTGTGATTATTGCATGCTTTGAGCTTGATCACAATGTTCTTACAGTCAATATCCAAGTACTGATTCTTACTAAGATTACCATAATGACATAAACTCATAGCTGAGATTAAATATAACTTAAAGGTTTTTCAATATCTGTTGTATTACATGCTTTCAATCATTATTTGTTACATTTCAGTTGCATTTAGATGCATATGGTTACAACAGTTTCTCACAAAGCCTTTAGATGAATACACAAGTACATTGCTAGTATAGGCTCTGACATCAATTATGCCACTTGTCATGGATGCCAACAAGTTGGAATAAATGACTGCACTATCAAAATATATACCGAGGCTTCCATCTGGCAATCAAATCTGCCACTCGTCGGGTCTTACATAGGCGTTTACATCTGCAGCAAGTGTTGATGACTGAAAGATGGGGTTTTTGTAGGTCATCTAATGGATCACTGAGTAATACATGAAGAGTGTTCCTATTTTTCAATATGATCCTGTATATAATTACTCCAGTATCTCTCTTAGTGGGAATTACTTTCCAAGGATAAAACTTTAACCCTGTTGTGTCTTCTCTGCATATTGAGAACACTGCTATGAATATTTACTCTGCTGTTCTGTAGATGTTTATACCAGTACTTGTTATAAATTTAAGTCCTGTTTGTTTATTCGTTTACCTTAAGCTTTATTCGTTTACCTTAAGTTTTGTTGACTTTTCAGTAAAGGTAGTAGTACATTCCCACAGATTTGAAACTTGATCTTCATAATAGTTATTGAGGCCTTCTAGAAAACACCTCCAACAACTGTTTTAGTATAATACATGATAGCAAGAACCGTAGGAATTAGGGGATGGCTGAATTAATCGTGACTATTTTGTTTGGGTGTTTTATTGGATTCAAACATTTGATCAGGCTGAGGTTTCAGAGTCCTCCCATTCCAAAACTGTTCTGTGTATATTAATTATAATGTATTTAGGAGAACTATTTCTAAAACAGCACCTTTTTTCTCTATCTCTTGTAACAGCAATGCTTGTGATAAAGAAACCTACATTGAAAGATCCGAACCCAAGAGCAAACTGACATGCTCTGTATGTTTCAAAGAGTTTAAAAGTTTACCAGCTCTAAATGGTCACATGAGGTCCCATGGAGGGATAAGGGCATCTCCTATCTTCAGACAGGTATCAATGCTTGTGTATTTCTTCCCCTTTTCTAAAATTTGCTGCTTGCTTAACTATGTCTGTCGTTAATATATATTCTGGAGCTTGCTATTGTCCAAAAAAAGTCTTTTTCCAGCTTTGCTTCCAAGTGTATTAATTCTCCATTGTTGACGTGTTAGCTGATGTTATATATAAGAAAAGAACTACGTCTCCCAAAGGCTTTGGCCGACCTCCAGTTGAACAGGGTTCCTCACTGAGTATACTTCAATATCCTCCTTATTGTTTGAATAGTTTTAAATACAATAAACTTTTCAATACAACTATGTTTTTTGTTTCCTTCTGTCCAGTTTTCTTGTGTTCCTTTTGGGCACAGGTTTCCAGTGAGGATATGTTTTGTAACGGAGGAATCATGTTAAATCTTTTGCAGCAACAATACTTGAGGCTTAATTCATTTATTCCAAGGTAGCAGGAACTTACTTTAGTCCCTGCTAATATTTCTTTTAAAATATTTCTTTTAAAATGCCCCAATGTTCATGCTGCCTATGAATATTCTAGTGATGACCAGGCGTTTGAAGTTGTGGGTGAAAGCTTTTAATAATTGTCTGTACAGGAGGATGGGGAGAACCTGCCACAGCAGCACCAGCAGGAACAGCTGCCCTCCGAAGTGGATAGCTTTGCGCCTATCGTCATGCCTGTGTCTGTCCCTGTAAAGGTTCTGTCGCCTGAGCCCAGCAAGCAGGCCAGTGATGGCTGTGCCCTGGTCAAAGACAAGCCTGTCTCAGATGATGAGATGCCTGTCCTTGTGAGGATGATCTGTTCTCCAGCACATTCCCCTAACGCCATCAGCCCGTCTACCTCTTCTGTGAGTGTTCTCTTCTTGCCACTAACTGTGCCATAGGAGCCTAATAAATCCCTTTGCGTTACATCAATGCTTTGAGAACTTTTCCAGTTATTCCAAAGCCAGTGTTAATTACTCTTCTATAATGGTCCAAAAATTTCAAAGCAGCAAACACAATGAAAAACAACAAAGGGATTTGTTATCTTTAATGTTCTTTGTGCTGGCTTATTTTACTGTTGCAGCTGGCTGAGAGCCAGTTTGTTTTCTTCTTGAAAACAGTCTACTTGTGTATTTGTGTGCATGCCTGTGTGCCCATGCATTTTGCCAGGGATTGTTTCCAGAGAATAAGCATTGTAAAAGGCTTGAGCCTGACACTTTCTTTTCTTGAGATAAGCATCACTTTTTCTTCAATAAATTACTGTTATAAGCCTGTTATAACTGTCGGCTGTCTTAAGTGTAAAATTTGTGTCATGTAGCATGCAAGTCCAGGAGAGGCTACTGAAGCTGATGAAACTTAAGCAGCCCTGACCTCAGTCTTGGATCTCCCATGTCAGTCAGCTGCCAGTTTAAATTTTCAAGTTGGGTTCTCTGAGAGATTATGGAAAACTCATATTAATAATTGCCCATGAAGGGCTTCTCTTTATTTGTAAAGGCCATCTTGTGTATGGACTTAGTTCTGATATCACACACGTTTATCCAGAATTACATCATTCATTCTACCCTGCTTTAACCAGAAAGCAGTGCAGTTTTATTGAATCCAGAGGAACAATTAAATAATCTCACAGAAACAGAAAGAAGAATGCATGAACTTGTCTTCCACTGTTTTTTTTTGTTGTTGTTTTTTGCATAATTCCTTCTTGGGAAACTGATGCTATATAACCAACTTTTGGGGAAGTGCAGTCTGAAACAGTAGGAGCAGACAGCAGATGATCTTTTAAAATCTGTAGCCCAGGGGTAAAATTCAGCAGGTTCTGAAAGGTTCTGGAGAACCAGTAGCGGAAATTTTGAGTAGTTCAGAGGCAAATACCACCTCTGACAAATACCACCTCTGACTGGTCCCAGAGTGTGGAGGGAATGAGGATTTTGCAGTATCCTTCCCCTGCCATGCCCACCAAGCCATGCCCACAAAACCGATAATAAAAAAATTGAATTTCACCACTGCTCTAGCTTTCTTAGAGTATTCAACCTAGGAAGTCTTTAACAGAATTGCAGTGCATCGGTTCTCCACTTTTTTGTTATTTAATTTAACAGCAGCTTCAGACAATAATTTGGAAAGAAATCTGTAAGGTCCTTTTGCATTACTTTCCTAAGAAAATTGAACACACACTCCAGGAAAGGACAGTTATGGGGGAATGACTCGAGAAGGAGCAGCCTCACAGTATTAGATTCCATTAAGCCAATGTCTGACTTTCTAATGCAACTCCTTCTAAAATTATAGGACAACTTTTTAACAGATTTTCTGGATCATTCTTCACTTAATTACTGATTGATCATTATTTCTTGAAAATTAAATGGTGTCTTTGTCCAATCACCCTGTAAATATATTGTTTTACTTTTTGTATGTAAAGAGTTTTGTAAAATACAACTATTAAAAATGGGCAAAATATGAGCAATAGTAAAAATAATTAGAGTCTATCAACAAAATAAACAGGAAGCAAAATCTACAGCACTTATTTTTAAAAAGTGACATAAATGTAAATACAGGAAGTCATGCATCAGTAAGAAAGGCCTGACTACTTTTAATAATGAAAGTTTATTACAAAACTAAACCAGCGGATAAAGCTGTAAAAGTTTAATAATAGTTTTATATTTTTCAGGCTGTGCTGATGTACCCAAAGAGTGGATCCCAGGTCAGCAGAAAGGTCTCTGGTTTACCACAGTCCATGCTAAGTTTAAGTTGGTGAATGTGTCTCACCAATTGAAAAATCCCTCCCTTGATATATCATGAACAAACTAGGACAAGATGGGACACATGTTATTATATTTTATTTATTTATTTATTATTGTTGTATCCTGCCTTCCGCTAAGATGTGGGGTCACGCCTTATTTTATCTTTGTAATCTATATGCAAGTTTGATCTGTGAGAAAGAGATTGCATTAAATCAGTGGTGATAACCTTTTTGTTGTCGTGTGCTGAAAGAGTGCGTGCCCAAACTCATAATGCAATGCATGCATGCGCCCACCCATGCGCTCCGGTCCCCCATGCGCATATGTGTGTCCCCCATACACATGACCCCTGCATCCCATTTTGGGCCTACCAGGCCTTCCTGCAGTCTCCTGGGACTAAATTAAATCTAAATTAGATGAAAAAGAGGGGCAGAGACTAAAATGCAGCAGTGAAAATAAATAAATGCTACATTCCTATAAATGCCTTCATTAGTAAATAGCAACTTAAGGAAGGATATTTAAAAGTTAGGCAACCCAGTCTCCTGAGTCAGGAAATTTCATCATGAAGATAAAGCCATTCTTGAAGCTCTTTGTTCCCGTCACTGGTCTTCATTACAGTCCTGGCATAAAAAAGTGCTCTCCATTGGATCTTAAAATGCTGGCAGACTGTCATGAGAGGAAGTAATTTGGGAAATCCTCTTTAAACCTGATTCCCAATAGTAAGATGAGAGTAGATGTATTGCTCTGTTGAAGCCAGAATGCAACACCTGTAAGTTGGAAGATTCATGTTTTGATGTTTCACTGAAAAATGGTATTGGGCTAACTGATGTATGCTTGAATACACTTACTATTACAACAACAACTTTTGTATTTTCAGGAGCCCAATAGAAAGCATCAGCAAAGTATCACCAACTCTGAAGAAAATATCAAATCTTTTCAAGACAAGAAAAAATACCGCCACAGACCCGAACCACTCTTTATACCACCTCCTTCCTTCAATCTCAGTGCATCTCACTCAGGGGCTACTCTGTACCAAAGCCAACTTCGCTCCCCCCGTGTTTTAGGAGACCATCTAATTGACAAGAATCATAATCCTCCACCTTATACACCACCTCCCATGCTTAGCCCCATACGGCAAGGATCTGGACTCTTCAGCAGCGTCATCATATCTTCTCATGGTACATCTCACCCTCAGCTGCCCCTTACTCCCCTGACACCCACTCCACGGATTCTCCTCTGTCAATCTAGTAAGTATGTTGTAGTGTAGTATAGATGTTGCTCACATAAGAACTACCAGTTTTATACACTGGTGGATGATAATAATGTTGGCTTAAATTGATTCTGCTTTGTACTTCTTATAGTGTTCTAGATATAATTACTTTGTTTCAGATGGGTTCATGAAGAAATGCAGAAAATCCATGTATGCTGATTCCTTTATCTCTTAAATGTGGCTCAGAAATTCAGTTACAGCAGTCCTTGTTCAGTGACCAGGATCCAGTCATTAAGCAAAGTGATTGCTCAGTGAAACTGTGACCGTACTTATAATCTTACTTCAGTTTTGCTTGCTTTGCTTTACAGACCTGTGAAGGTCCTAAATGCAAGGGTAGGTCATTAAGTTAAATTTTTCATCACCGTGGACTTTCCATTTTTACTGCAATCAGTTGATGCAAAGAATCATGTCCTTGAAACTAGCAAATTGGACAGCTTTGCTACACCACATGGAAACATTTTTTAATCTCATTACTGCAGATACAAAAACATTGCTTGCAGTCTTGAATAATTGTCTTGGGGGGTGTAAAATAAAATAGTCTTACAAAGTAGTATATCATGCAAGGATCCTGTTAGTAACTGTTTTCTAAACAATGGGGAATCGTATGTAAAGATACAATTGCCGGTAAAGGTAAAAAGTAGGTTTTACATGATCTGTTGGTCTTTAATATCATTGGTTTTTTTTGTGTGGGGGACTGGTACTAGCTCCCCAAAGTGACCTTCCCTACTCCAACCCCTTCCAGTTACAAACTGTCTAGTTTGGTTCTGCAACCAAACAAGACAAACACAGACTTCAACGGATAATTAGAGTTGCAGAAAAACAATTGCTGCCAAGCTGCCTTCCATTGAGGTCCTGTAAACTGCACGAGTCAAAAAGAGGGCTGTGAAAATATCTACAGACTCCTCACATCCTGGACATAGATTGTTTCAACTCCTACCCTCAAAACAACGCTGTAGGGCACTGCGCACCAAAACAACTAGACACAAGGACAGTTTTTTCCCCGAACGCCATCACTCTGCTTAACAACTAATTCTCACAACACTGTCAAATAATTTACTAAGACACTATTACTATTATTCTTCTCTTCCTTCCTAGTATCTCTCTATTCCCAGTTATTACTATAACCATGTTGCTTGTATCTTTCAATTTGTATTGTTTTATTTGTTTCCTAGTATGATTTGATAGCTTATTAGTGTAACTTTGACTATCACTAAGTGTTGTATCTTTTATTCTTGATGAATGTATTTTATTCTCCTTATACACACTGAGAGCATATGCACCAAAGACAAATTCCTTGTGTGTCCAATCACACTTGGCCAATAAAGAATTCTATTCTATTATGGAGGAGAAGTCATAGTATCCCTAGCCAGGCCTTGACTCAATATATTTGGAGGGCATTTGATTGACAAATACCGTGTTTCCCTGAAAATAAGACAAGGTCTTATTTTCTTTTGACCCCCCCCCCAAATAAGCACTTGACCTTATTTTCAGGGAGGTCTTATTATTTTTGAGGTGTAGAAGGTGGTGATAATAGTCACCTAATGGCTGCTGCTGTGTTGCAATATTTTGGGGAGGGCTTATTTTAGGGGGAGGGCTTATTTTAGCACATGCGCTCAAAAGCCCAACTGGACTTATTATCCGGGGAGGGCTTATTTTCAGGGAAACAGGGTATCTTCATTAGAGCAGTTTTCTTACCACCTGATGACATTTCTTTCAAAACAGTGCCAAAAAGGTCAACTGCATATAAATGGGTACTCGCTCTATTATTAGGGTGAGAAATATTCCTTATTTAAATATAATGTTGTTTTCTGTAAGAAAAGAAGGCAGACTGCAGAAACTTGGTTAGTGAGCAAAGACAAAATGGGAAAATTATATTATCATTTTTCTTGCAGATAGTATTGATGGAAATAGTGTTCCTGTGACCTCAAGACCTGGAGAACAGACTATTCATATTGAACCGTAAGTCTTTTATAGAGAAATGTAATATCCCCGGCAACACAAATTGTATTGGTTGGGGGTTGGAGGGGAGTGTGTGTGTCTTTTTGAAAAATGGTTAAGATACAAATCATTCCTGCGAATCTCTCAGGTTTTTGTGTATGCATCAAGGCCTCTTATCTTATTTTGTTTATAATCAACTGGTTACATTGGTAGCTACTTTTAAATGGTTTTCAGAGGAACATATTTAAATATTATAAAACTGCAGTCCTGAACTAAACCATGAAGTATGACCTCAAATATTGGCCATCAGTAGCATTTTGGGAAATGAGAGCTCAACGTGGTTCTGGGCCCTCATTTTACTGACCTCAGAAGGATGGAAGATCCTTGAGCCTGTCCGGGTTGAACTCCTGACAGTGGGCAATCAGCCTGAAATACTGCATTCTAACCACTGTGCCACCACAGCAATTGGTTGTTCCAGAGGGCAGATTCCATGGCAAAAAGCCTCATCTCTTAGGTCCTGTCAGATGGAACTCTTTTGCACATGGGACCTACAATCCTGCAGGTTTAAAGGGGCAGGTAAATGTAATCAAGAAGAGATGGTCTTTCGAATAAGTCAGGGGTGTCAAAATCAAGGCCTGCGGGCCAGATCCGCTGAAAGACCACCTTGTGGTGCCTCTGCCAGTGAAAATGGAGCTTGGGAGGGCCATGTGCCCCCCTCCCCCAAGCTTCGTTTTCTCTGGCAAAGGGCTGCAGGAGTCTGTCATGAGTGATGAGCTGGTCATGCCCAACCAAGCCCCCCGAGATCAAACACAGCCCTGATGGGGCCCTCAATGAAATTGAGTTTGACACCCCTGAAATAAATCATATTGTTCATTCATGATCAGAAGGTGATGTCCTTGACAGACTGTTTTCCTGGCTCCTTTTTGGATGATTTTGGTGAAGAACATAGTATGTCATCTATTCAGCTTGATTCTGTAAGGAAAGAATCCACTTTATATAAAGTTTCTGCTTCATTAGTTTTATCTTTGCCACTTCTGCTTTCTGCCTTAATGTCTTTTTTGGCTACACGAGTGATATTTTTTCCTGCCATTATTTTCTTCCTAAGTCCTTCTCTTTAGACTCCTCTGAGGAGAAGGACTTAGGAAGGCTCTGCAGTAGACTTACATTTTTAATGCTTTAAATATTTTTTTTCTTTAAGGTGTATCAACATTGGCTCAAGATTTCAGGCTGATATCCCTGAATTTAAAGATATAGCAATGGTGGAGAAGGAGGATCACAAGGCAACTTTAGTCTGGAAACCATGGAAAGAACTGGAGGACAAAACTTTTGAACAAAGAGGTACTATATTTTTATACCGGTACTACCTAAAATAGTGAATTTTTGCTTTGCTATGTTTTATGTATATCGCCACCCACTCACCAAGATCGCTTTGAGTAGCTAATAGGGATTAATCCCAACTCACAGTTTGAAATAAAAAAGTGGGTGTTTTCAGTATTGCTGTCTGTTAAATTTAAAAATTTAGATTTTCTTGATAATTCTGCCAAAACAGATTTGAATCAAGTCTTATGTTCAGTAGATTCTACTGTTAAAGAATGGGAGTAGGTAACAGTTTACTCTGATCTCCTTCTACACTCATAATTTCTGGAGATTAATGTCAGCCACCAGAGGAGGAAAGAGAACCAAGGAAAATGATTTGTTTATCCATTTTCTTTAGAAGCAAGTCTCCATCAAGTCCTTCTCAAATAGAAAAGACCCTTGGATACTTGGACCTGACACTTGATACAGCATATAAACCCCTAGTATACATTGAACCCTACATTGTTTATGTAAATTCTTCATTGGGCTATCCTTGTACTCCCTAAATTTGTTTCCTTCAAAAGACTCTATTCACTAAAAATAGTGAATATCTCTATATCCTTTGCAATATTTTGTGATGGGAGTTAACACTTATTTTCTCAACATGCTGTTGTGCACATGTTCATCAGAGAAATACCATAGGAATAAACATGAAAAGAGTTACAAAAAGAAAAGAATCTCTTCCAGATGTCTTGAAGGGGTATAATTACAAAAATGCTATTTTCCCCTTTAGCCTGTTTTAAGAACTGTGTGAGAAAACAATACTTTCATTTGTTTTATCTTCTTCTTCATTTTAATAAGAATGTATTGGTTTCCTGATACTTCCTGTATGTGTGTTTTCAAAACTGATATACCACAGGACAACAGAATTCATAATTATACAGCAGCACATAAAATGTGTGTGGCTTTTTTATTTGTGAGATCTGCATCCTTGTTTTAAAATTACCATAAATACGTCAGAAAGCTTCTAGGTTCCATTTCAGCCCTTCTGGCCTAAGAATATTTCTTTCTTATCCTCTTACCTTCATACTCAAATCTACTTCTCAAACTGTGCATTTCTATTACATATGCTTTCTTTGTTTATCATTCCATTCGGCTGATTTGTAGAGTGACAATTAATTGCTTTCTTAAACTGGTACTTAATCTTAAAATCATACTCTATAAGAAGGGAGCTGAGAATCATCAGTCCTCAGTGCAGAAATCCAACGCCATAACATCCCTGACAGGTGGCCATTCATCTTCTGTTTAAGCATCTCCAACAAAGGAGACTTCATAATCTCAGTAGGCAATGTGTTTTATATACAGCAGAAGTTTGAAAGCTCGGAAGACTAAACCTCTGGTCCCGGTGACCAACCCAGATTGGTTGTTGTTTCATTTCTTTCCATCAATCTAAAATTCATAATGTCCATGTCCAGTCTGAAAATGGCCCATAGGAGGCAATCCTGATTATTCTAATCCATTATGAAATATTTTCTGATTCTTGCCAAAATCTGCTTCCTTATAATCTTTTGACATTTTCCGCCCTATTCTGCCTGCATCCTATAGTTGAAGCTAGCTTCCCTATCTCCCCATCCTTTTTCCAACTGGGTGTCTTTCCAACAGATGTACCAGTGGTGGTATTCAGCCAGTTCGGGCAAACAGGTAGTGACGATTTACAGGTGGGCCTGCTTGCCCACCCCAGCTCTATGCTGTCCTGTTTAGCCACATTTTCTAAGCCGCGTGCATGCGTGCAAGCCACATGCATGCGTAAAGCACATGTGCAGAATTGGCTGCATGCATGCACAGAAGGCACACATGCTCACGAAGCAAGAGTGTGTGCGCCCACGCGCTCACAGCTTCGGTGCGCAGCAAACCGGTGGTAAAATTATGTGAAACCCACCTCTGAGATGTACCTTTAACTAATTTACCTTTGCTACAAATTGGGAAGTACTGGTGCAAACAAGTAACTTATAACATCTTTTACATCATGTTCAATTGCTACTTTGCTACTTAATTTATTTCACCATTGCCTGTTCTTGTTTTATTTTTTAAATGTAATATTTTCCACCTATGTTCATCAACCCATTTTAAACAAATTAATGCTGTTCCAAAGAGGTGTATTTCTGAATTTGAGGTGATTATCTTATTTTTCAGAGTATAAGAGGCACCTTTCCTCACTCTAAAAGAGCGTGGAAATGTTGGTGCGTCTTATATACTGAATGCAGCCATTTTTTTGGCCTCCCGAAGTCCTGCCCCCGCATCCCATTTTTCCAAAAAACGGAGGTGTTTTAGCCTTCCCCCAGCCCCCAGAAGCACTCTGCGGGCTACAGCAAGGCTGTGGGAAGGCAAAAATGCCCCCATTTTTGTGAAAAATGGCTGGTTTTCTGCCTGTTTTTCACAAAAATGGGGGCATTTTTGCCCTGCTGAAGACTGCAGAGTGCTCCTGGAGGCCGGGCAGGCAAAAACTTTTTTCTTACTTATCTCTTGAAATCTTGGTGTGTCTTATACACCGGTGCGTCTTATAGTCTGAAAAATACGGTAAGTGGAGTGTGTGAATGTTTTGGCTTTCCATGCTTCTGTTAAATCCAGGGGGCAGCATCCAAAGGGAACCCTTCCCCATTTTCAGATTGCGAAGCATGGAAAACCTGTAGACTTCAGAATGATGTTTAATAGAAAAGTGTCATTCACCCCTCCCCCCACAAACAATAAAGCAAGCTAAAAACTACCACAGAGAAAACTTCAAAAGAATAGAAAAACAATCACATCTGGAGGAGGAGAAATCTCAGCAAGTAATTAAAATAAACTGCCTCCTATTGTGCCCCAGCTGTCTCAAAATAGGAACTCATACTTGTTAGAATTAGTGTCTTTACTCTGGCTTTCTGCATTCTTATTATGTTTCTGCATTCAGCAGCTGAATTGTTTGAGAAAGTTAATTTTGTTTTCTTATTACAGTGACCAATCTCTTAAATATGTGCTGCTCGAGCATATTAACTGGTGGAGGAACCAACATAGAATATGGTTTGCATTCTCTCTTTGAAGCTAAAGGGAATATTATGGTAGGTTACAGAACATGTTAAAAATAGTAACAGATTTTGACATCAAGAAAATGTTTGAATAACTAATTGTAAAATAGTCTCACTTGCCATTAATAAGATTTTTCTTTCTTTAGTGCAGCTTCTGAATAATTTCTAATATGATGTTTTATTTTAAAAACACATATCCAGTTTTTCTTTAAGGAAAAAAAACCCTATGGCTACAACTGTCTAGTAACTAATAAAATACCTTGTATTTTATGTTCACTCAAAAATACATTCTAATTCCATTCCAACTGTTCAGAGGAAAGCAACTTAAACAAGAAACAACCTAGGTCCATGATGGCAAACCTATGTCACGCGTGCCACAGGTGGCACACGGAGCCCTCTCTGCAGGAATGCAAGGCATCGCCCCAGCGCAGCTCCACCATGCATGCACAGCACCTCTCATCAGCTGCTGATTTTTGGGTCTCTGTGCACATGCAAGAGATGTGCACTTGCACAGGGAGAGCGCAGTGCCCCCCCCCGCACCGCATTTTTGGCCCCAGGAGGCTTCAGGGAGGCCTGCTAGGCTCAAAATGGGGTGCAGGATTTTTTTCACATGTGTGGTTTTGGGGAGTCAGGTACACATACACAGGGGGACAGGATGCATGGGGGGGGGGCTGAGCGTGCATTGCATTATGGGTGTGGGCACGCGCACACATGCTATTGGCACACGAGGACAAAAAGGTTATCCATCACTGACCTAGGTCAACAAATCACTGCATGAACAAGTCCACAAGAACTCTGCATTTTAAAATGTAGCATATGATAGGCACAGTGACGTGCGGTGAGGTTTATGGTTGGTGAGGCACTGACAAAGTGGTGGGTTTCAAAAAAATTTTTAGACTTGTGGACTTCAACTCCCAGAATTCCACAGCCAGGCATGCTCAGTTCCGATTTAAAGCGACAGCATTTGTTTTTCACCTTTGCAAAAAAGTTTCCTTCATTCTTTTTCTTCTCCCTACCCCTCCTCCCTCCCTCTCTCCCTCCCTCCCCCCTCTCTCAAACAGACACATGCACACAGAGAAGTTGGATTGGACTATCTCTCCTACCCCCTTCCCTCTCTCACTCACTCTCTCTCAAACACAGAAGTTGGATTGGACATATTTTCCAATGGCTTGAAAGCAGCTCCTCTGCCATACCCCTCCCCCAATTCCCCTGCTGCCTTCCGATCCAAACACCTCCACCATTGCAAATGCAGCCTACAGTCTGGGTTGGAAATGCCTGAAACGCAATAAAGCCCATCCACCCACTCACCTCCTGCTTGCAGGCTGGGGTGAAAGAAGAGGCAGCGAAGCCGGAGGGGAGCCGATCCGAGCCTTTGATTGCAGGCAGAGCCATGTTGCCTTTTCAAACTTGTAATCAGTGAAGCTGGGCTTATATAGTTTTATCCATCTCTCTCTCTCTGTGTGTGTGTGTGTGTGTGTGTGTG